AGCAACAAAAATGCCGGACAGAAACAATAGCACGAACCGTGTACGAGTAATAGAGATGTAAAGTGCCTATCAAGCCTTCAGACGCTGTAAACATATAAAATGAAGGCGCTTATTGTTCCTTCACTAACAATAAGTGAAGCATTTTTCCACAATCGAGTGAGGCCATTTCGAGTGAGAGGAGTGGAAATAATAACCACTGGATACTGCATCGACGCACGTTTAAACAATCAAACGGGGAACAAAGACACTAATGCGGAAATGGATAATGCAGAAGTGAAGCGGGCGGAGCGAGGAGTGCGGAGTGCCACCGCGGACGGAGAGGAGCCACGCTTTAATTGTGATACGCATCTATCTGTGCGTAGTCAGCACGTGCAACATTACACATAATTACTTCCTTAACACTCTACCCTGTTAATGATACAAATTCATCAAAATAAATCATTTGCTCGATTCAAATCTATAGAACAATCTCATAGTTGTGTAAAAACAATACTTGACAAATTAGAGTTAACCCGATGGCGATGGCACGTCAGCACATAAATCTTCGATATTTTTTCAACGGGCGCTCCGCTGCCGTCTCCAAAGTGACCCACACTACGCTCTATGAAGAGGATGTGTGATTAGTTTTATCCTTCGCCCCTCCGAGCGTCACCCCTTCACCCCCTCTCACACCCTTTCACGCGCCCTTCCCCAGCCATTCTTCGCCAACTGTATCTCGGAACAAATGAATCATCCTGTATTAACGGGGAAATAGCATAAGCGTTATTATAGCAAATTGAAAGGAACTCTGGACGGTAGCTAAACAATACGAAATAAAATGAATGGGAGACAAGTTCTTCTATTAATTAACGTTCGGTCCCGCGATAGTCCTTTAACAAACCTCGCAACACTAGAGGACTTCCGCGGCTTCATTGTGCTATTGACGTTTGTCAATTGTACCAGTACTCAATTATAATGTACCTAACATTAATTTCATTGAGCACAGCGAACTTGTGACCTCCACTTATCTTAATGAGAGGTGGCCAATAACCGTACCTTTGATATCTGGCTCCCTCTTGGGGTAGCCGGTGCTATTTGCTTGTTTGTAAAAGAAAGAAATGAGACTAACAGACTTGTCTGGAAATGGCTGCGGTCACCAATCCAAAAAATCGATCGTTCGCAAACATAAAATCAAAAAACAAGACAAGTGGAGTAAGGGACCGCACGTCATCACTGTTTATATAGCAGCAAATGGAAAACGGAGGAGAGTGACCAGGTACATCAGACAAAGCTACGCATACTTCTACTTTTTGGTCATCCTAATGTTAACAAATAAAATGGAAAACACCGTAGCTTGTTTGTAAAACATGGGCTATGAACCACAGGCTTCTTTTTTGGATTCTGTGTCCGGCGAGCGATAGGCAGAGTACAGCGACTACCTTGATTATAAAACAGCGAAATTAAATTTCGCGTAAATCGTACGCTAGGGCCGGCTGACGCGGACTTATTACGCGTATACATACGTAGACAGTAATTGCGCGGTACCACGGAAGTTTATTATTGCGTTTCGTACGCAAAGTTTCGATTAGAGGGGCGCCATGCCGCGCAGCCGCCGGAATAACATAAATAATGACCGACTAATGCGCTGGATTGCACTCATTTGCTATCTAGGAAGTTATTCGCGCAGGTGGTGCAAAATTTTTGTTGTGATGAAAAATATGCAAAGCAATCATTGTTAAAGTATAAAATACCACGTCATCTTCTCGGCTACTAAATTGTTAGCTATTTATTTCTGCAAATACAGCAGCTATAGTCCAATCTGGTTCAGGTTGTCACTCACTGATAGCGTGGTTTAAAGTTCAAAGAAAATTTGAAGTTCAGAAAGAGTCGTTTCGGTTTTGAACTTCGCGTAGTTTGATCGAGATATTGGAATTTTTGTTATGTAGATATGGTGAAGGCATGTCAGTGTAGTGGCTAAGCAATGGTGGATTGCCCTAGATCGAGTTTGTTGGTGACGCCAATGAATGACACCTATATCCCGAATCGTTTGCGTGAAACTGAATTTCACAGCGGACAATATACAATTTAGGTTATTTCAGAGAGACGTACATAAGTTTAACTTCAGTGTTTAGCGATAATGCTTGAAAGTCCGTTATCTTTACATTTATCGTGTCATTCTTTCTAAAAACTGGTTTAAAACTAACGTGAATAATTGTATTATTTTTTGAAAATTCCAAAGTTCCTGTTTTTTAGGAACATACAACAATCCCATCAATAAAAAGCTTAGAAATTAGAAATATGAATTTGTTCGTTGGTCCCCGCTTTATTTACGAATATATTTTTTTATTAGTTTGTTAAAGGACCGGCCAGCCACCCCTTGCACCCCGCCTCGTGTAGCGGAACGACTAACCCCGAAGTTACCCCCAAGTCAATATATAACCTTGTTTTTTCTTATTTGAACCATTCGTAGTTTAGCACGGTAAGGCTGTTGACTACTTAACCGGATTTTTCCAGTAGTCTCTAAAATAGCCCACAAACTAAAGTGAGATGTTTCATGAGCTACTTCAAATTCAGTGGCTTAAGGATAATCTTACAGGTTGCCGATTACGGGCCGACCCACGTCAAACAGCTGCTTACGTTGGTGACGTCACATGGCTCAACAAGTTAGCAATATTATACGTGTCCCACCCACCCAGCTCCCGACCATCGTTGTTACGGCTGACACGACACGCGTGACATCTATCCAAACCACACTACACTATGACTAACATAACATTACCAACACTATCTTATCCCTACCCTGGCCGTTCCTTCTTCGTCCACAACAGTGTTGTATGTTGTCCCTCATAATGTTAGCATATTGTAATCTAGACGAGTGAATGTACTAATTTAATAATATGATCGAGGCAGTCGCGTTCCGCCGCGCCTCTCCCCCGCCCACCCGCCTGCGCCTACATAAATCTATTTTATCGTACACTGGCAATAAATTTTATTTCGGGATCTTTAATTCTTTGTTATTGAATTGGATTTTAGTGTTTTATTCGGGTAAACAAACAATACATCGGAACGTTTCAACCGGTACTTAGGGCACGTGTGCGTTTCGTAAACACGACTAGCGGCGGGCCCGTCGTCGCCCGGCTAACTTAATAAAAGATTTTATTTGTAGATTGAACTGCGTTCCGTTATTGCCGCCGTAAAATGGCCGGCTTTTGTCTGCGTTCACAATTAAAACTTCGATAATGTTTAGTTGTAGCGCTGGGCACAAAGAAATGCCGCTCTTTGCTCCAACAATTACAGGGTGGACGTAAATAAACGTACGCCTGAGCAGAGCGCGGGCGGCGCGGCCGTCGCGTCCGATCCGACGCATGATCTACAGTAGCGATCGATAAAATGTGCAATCGTAAACTTCCTGTACGAGATGGGAAATTGTAAATTAACCGACGAATAGTTCTTTTTCATCTGACCGTTATTATTATTGTACGGTAATGAAGCCGACTTGTTAAACCTTTGTTGTAATTGTGTCGGCACAAGATTTAGAACACTGTTTTATATACTTTACTGCCTATGTGCGGTGTCCGTTACGTTGCTAATGAAAGGAAATAAAGTTCGATTTCTTTGTGATGTTGGTGCCATTCATTATAAGTGTGATTTTTGTGGCTATTTTCGTTTGAAATAAACGTTTTGTTTGTTCTGTCGTGTTCCGTACATTGTACAAGCAGAAGCGAAATTCAAACAGTTTTGGTTGAAAAATGATATTTTTATTGCGAGTGACATCTCCGGCCACATGATGTCGTCCCGAACACGTACCAATTTTTTCAGTTGAAATGTGACACGGCACATTTAAAAATCTCTGTGGTTTCCCTTGCGCCACAGACAAGTGTAAATGTTCGCAGGGACGCCACGTGGGCCTGTTGTTGTTACGTTCATGTACCCACATTGCATATATCGGCTACCTATGCCTATGTTATTCTTTCACGTAAAAGCTACTGAATAGATCTTAACAAAATTGCACACAGATATCGAATACAATCTGAAGTATCTCATCTTATCTATACTAATATTATAAAGCTGAAGAGTTTGTTTTTTGTTTGTTTGTTTGATCGTGCCAATCTCCGTAACTACAAGTCTGATTTGAATAATTCTGTTTGTATAGCGCATTTATCGAGGATCGCTATATGCTATAAAACATCACGCTACGACCAATAGGAGCTGAGCAGAGAGTGAAAAACCGCGCGGAAGTAGCTAGTAGTATATTTATCCTGGTAACGTTTGCGAAGTCCCTTACAAAAGCTGTTAAACAAATTCTTCTATAACTTAATTCGTCAATACATAATTATGTACAATCAGATAAATCATATCGATATATAAATGTATACAAAGACAGTCTCATTATTTCGTCAGAAGTCATTCATCAGCGTATCATTATTAGGTAGGTCATTGTCCTATAATGTGTTGCCATAAAATATATATCTCTATCGGACGTAGATGTTTTTCTCACGCGTCCCTTTCTCTGATTACTTGCGAAAATTTGTACATTTGTTACTCCTTAATTATAAAACGATCGGGACGAGATTTGTAACAGGAGCAGATTATAGTCTAAGGCTTCTTATCCCTCGGGATCGTGGGTGAAACCACTGACTGAAGCTAGTACATTATATTCTAAAGTTTGAATGATAAGAGGAACAAATTACAAAAACCATAATAACCACTAAATTAACGCAAGACTTGTAAATAGTTGAAGTATTCGTTTTCTAAACAAAAACATTCAACAAGAACTTGAAGGGATATCTTTCTTTGATTATACGATTTACCCTTCAACTGGGTAACACCCAACTTAAATATTACCTACAGCTAGTTCGATCTCCACCACAATGCTATTCAGTTAAATATAATTATGTGTATTTTTGTGAATATTCACGTCACAGAAGAAAAATACACATAAAGTTTTTAACCATTAAGTATAAAAATTACGAAGGAATGTGAAATAAAACATTATCTAATTATTTTTATTATTGTTCACAGGCTAAAATGATTGAGAACTCCCAGGCTTGGCTCGGAGCCTCCACGTCTGCAGCAATCGCAGGTTCGTACAATTATTATAACTGGCAACTCTTTCTTTTCGAATTCGGAATTCAAATTTTTAATCATGTTGTTAATCTTTTTTCTTAGCATATTCGTTTTTTAAATTATTTTAACGTACTTTTTATGTGCCTTAAAAAATTGTCCTGCCTCTAATGACATCACTAAATTAAAAAAATATGCCTTAAACAGTGTTGATTATGAAATTCCTACCTTTCTTTACCTATTTTTGTTTCTATAATTTTCTAAAACCGTGTTACGTTGATGCAGTATAAAAATTGATAGTCTTAATATAATCTGAAGAAAACTATAGACACTATAAAAAACATAGTACATTTCTATTAATACAATAATCCTATAGACGTTTCCCCAACATTAATACATAATACAATAATAAATAGCAAAACATAGTCATTCAATGTATTTTATAGCAAATATTTCTCATTGATAATAGCTCTTATTCTTTCGTTGTCATTATAACGTGAGAGAATAATATAGAAACACTATTATTTTAGCTCAATACAACATTGTTAAACTACGATAGCCGTATGTACTGTGTTAGTGAAATTTATACTTTAATGGTATAAAAACTAACATTGTATTAGAGTAGCTGTGTGCGTGCGTAAGTAAGTTTCCTTAGTTTCTCGAATGATAGATACATTGTATAATATTATGTTGTAACCACATTACTTATTATGTTACGTATCATGGAAATTTTCCTTACTTATAATCCGTTCCTAAAATCGGAACAATCTGGCAAACAAACAGTGCTATTTCTAAAATGGCTTCAAAATATTACTCTGCGAATTTTTTATCGATTTAAATGTACTAGTTTGTAGATATTTCTCATTTATTTTGTACATAGCCTCCTATTTATAGGCATAACACTTAGCCTAACAGTTGATAGTCCACGCACGATTTTTATACAGGAAAATCTAGGACAACCGAAAGCAATTTAATCTGGCCAATCTTCAACCGTATTTTTCAGTCTTCAGCTACAACCATTGTATATTTTACTGTTTTGAAAATATTTTATAGGACATCAATTCCATAAGTATTATTATTGTTCATGTATCTAATAAGAGTATGAAGCCTAGATAGCTAAAAAATCGCTTTGATTTTACGAATTAAACAAGCAATCTACTTTTAGTTATTAGTCCTGACACTGAACACTTGATAAACAATTAAATCACAGCAGATAACTCAAAGAAAATAAGATAAAGTTCTGTACACAACTGCATCATAATAACACGGACTTTTTATTTCATTGTTTTGTTCCCCCATCCTATCAGATTTCAATGGTCAGACCTCGCGCAAACCGTCGTGGACACAGAACCAGCTGAAAGAAGCGATCCATGCAGTCGCCACGCAACAAATGAAATTCACACAAGCATCAACGATGTATGGCATACCTAAAGGGACATTATACGATAATATATTAGGAAAATCTAAACGTATGGCAATGTTAGAGGAAATTAATCTACTAGACAGTGAAGAAAAAGCTGTTTTAGACTTCTGCTGTGAAACAAATGTGTCTCCTTACAATAGACGTACTCAAAAACCGTTGAAAGAAGTATTATCCTTTGTTGAAAAGTTGCGAAGGATGAGGGATCCTGGGTTTTCTTTCGTGGGACTAAATGGCTTTAGGTGGTGGTGGGCATTCTGTAAAAAGCATACGATAGTGTCCTTGCACTATGAAGGCTCGTTGAAAAACAAGAACCTATTAGTAAAGACTGAATATAACTCAGACGACGAGTCGTGACGGTTTTAGGGCTCGTTATTTAAGCGTTCAGTGCCTTTTCTATTAGAGTCTATATGTCTATATTAAAAAGTGTTTTTTGAAATGGGTACTTGGACTTTGAATATATAATCTATCTTCTTCGGATTGGTTACGCTTTTAACAAAGTATTTATCGATGCTACTTAGTTCGTGTATAGTTTATTACTTATTGCTGGTATACAAACTATGTCATTGATTTGTAAGTGACTACATATAAAAATTTTAGAATAACACACATGGAAAGTGATTACCCACCTGTTTGCGAAATTAAAGCCTTGATTTAATGTGATGAATAAAAGTCCTATATTATAACGTTTTCTGACGCTAGTTCATAACTCTAAACCTAAACTAAAATGCCTTATTAACCAAAATTAATTCATGTTAGTCAGCAATTTGATGAGCTTGCACAGTTTGAGCGGTGCCAAATTCCAAACCGCATTGGAGCATAATTCGGTCAAATAAAATGTGATATCGTATCATTATGTGACCAGTAACAGGTTGGCAACCCTTTGCCGTTACCTATTATATTGCAATTTTCTAAACCTCAAAATGTGACTAAAGTATCCTATAAACTATATATAGCTCGTCTTGTATAACCATGTGATCTAGCTAGCCCGTGGTGGCCACTCAAACATATAGTCGTAACGAGTCTATAAAAGATCATTCGCCACTACTTTTACGTTCGGCATATGGTTAAGGGATCGCAGTTTAAAAGATTCCGGTTTACCAGAGAGCACAGCTGGCCAGTCTGTCGAAGTGCTTACGATCTTAAAGATACTGTTACCTACACCTGCAAAGTCAAAGTCAAAGTTTCAATTATTCTTGTCAGTGAAGCTAGGCGCTCGTTCCTCATGGCCGCGGCAATGCACCACCTCCGAGTGGGTCCCAAATAACGGTAGGAGGGGTTACCATCGGCGTCGAGACGGCGATGAAGTACCTAGGACTCGTCCTCAAGAGTCGGTGGATTGGGATACTGTCTCCTTCTTCTGCGAAGCATTCATTCAAGCTAAAGAGGAGGCGGGGCGCGTGAGGGAACAATGTTCTCACGCCACAGCCGTCGCAGGAGACACTTCTCGATCGTGCGACGATCTCCGGCCACCGTGCAGGTCTTCGGATGGCGAGCTATCCTTACCAGACCCACATGTACGGCGAGTCGCGTTCCGTGCGTGCCTCAAAGAGCCATCAGACCACCATAGATAGGGCCCAGTAGGGCTGGTGCCCGATACGGAGCCGCGAAAAGCCTTACGGGTTGCCAGGGCTCCGGCCCAAAGAGCAGGAGTAGGAACGGAGTGGTTTTTAGTCAGTAAGAGTCGATTTTTGAACATTCTTGAGCATGCTCAATAGGATACAAGCTGCTAATTAAAGCATGCATGCTATTTTAGAGCATGTATGACCGATACGGAAAGATTAGAGATGGAGACAAGATCTGCCGGATGATATTGTCTAAGTATTTGAATAATATAATCAGATCTTAACTCACACTCCTAAATAAATTTAATGACTCGTACATTAATGGCCAAAATAATTACAAGTTGCCATTTTGTCTTGCCATCTCTTTCCATTCTACGTGTTTAGTTGGGACAGAAATACTTTTGATAACGTCTTAAAGTTAAATACCGTGTATTCCGTCTCTAAATTCTCAAATAACATGCTATGGCGCCTTTGATTCTACAATGGGGTACGCAGAGGTACAAATGTTAACACCCATTTTTGGTCAGTTGTGTTATTGCTGACTGCCTTCAACCTGGAACAATTTTAAACTCCGATTTGGTACTGAGCATCGTGATGAAACTAAAATCTTAAAATATTTAGCCTGACTCACGAATCGAATGCGATATCCTTTTTAAGTGGTTGTCTTAAATGTTTACAGGGCCTCTAGCCAAACGCCACTTTAGCGCTTGTCTACAGTGAGAGTAGATATCAAAATGTATGGGGATGACACTGACAAGTGTCAAAATTTACGTCAATTCCATATAATTTGGTTTTCTATTCTACATGTAGACAAGCGCTAAATGGCATTTGGCTAGAGCTGCAGGGCCGATTTCGCCTATGTGTGCCACAGTTTTACGTAAATATTAATAATAAACTATTTTCACCAATAACTAAGTATGCAGTTTTTGAGAGATTTGACATGTTTGCATCAACTAGCATACCTACTATAAACCTGACCTTCAATTTAATATTGGAACTTTTCTAGATATTTTTTTTAAATGCGTAAGTGAAAATTAAGTATATCTTTAAATTATTTAATGAAACTATGATCCAATTTGTTTTTGACTATATAAAGTACCCAATTTTGTTGTTAAACACATTGCCATACGTAAGACTTGTAGGCTTAATTAAAGTTTTTTTAAGCTTTGCCAGATACTAGGGTTTTCTCCTGTATCGTAGGTGCGTTTACAAACATACAAACTCACTTGCACATGCATTCCAATTAAGCATATTTAATAAGTTTAGAATAACCCACCTTATATTATGTTAAATTTAATTTTGTACTTTATAATAATATTGTTAAAACCTGTTTTACAATATCTAGTTAAGTACTGAAACACTTTTGTGGGGGTAAATACGTTATATTATCCGTCAGTTGTAAAACAGGCTTTTAAAGAATAAGGCATCGTTCACACCAAACACATTGTTGTGTCGGCTACTAACTGTCACCGCACGTTACGTACAAAAATCCATCTTTTACTAGTTTGCGGAAGAGTTTGTTTTTTTGTTTGTTTGTTTGAACGCGCTAATCTCCGTAACTACAAGTCTAATTTGAATAATTCTTTTTGTGTTGGATAGCGCATTTATCGAGGATGGCTACAGGCTATAAAACTTCACGCTACAACCAATAGGAGCTGAGCATAGCGTGCGAAACCGCGCGGAAGTAGCTAGTATATAATATGTATTTAATTTTAACCTCTCAATGACAGTGAGCATTTACAGTCAGCGGACAATATGTTTGGTGTGAACGATGCCTAAGGTTGATTGTCCACGACGCGTCATTTCACAGATGCATGCGACCTACAAATGGCAATAGATATTGCTTAGACACAATGAAAGCTGCAGCTGTAGCCAAATGCCATTTAGCGCTTGTCTACATGTAGAATAGAAACCAAATTATATGGAATTGACGTAAATTTTGACACTTGTCAGTGTCATCCCCATACATTTTGATTTCTACTCTCTGTGTAGACAAGCGGTAAAGTGGCGTTTGGCTAAAGGCCCTGTTCTCGA